AAATACAAATTTTGTAAACAATCAGTATTTCTGAAACTAGTGGTGGAGGCAGCCATGTTATTGAAAAGTAGTGTCATCTGCAATAATGATGACTGTGATCTGCTGTAATAATGGCTTAATGATCACAAGAACTATTTCAATATGTATAAACATTAAATAAATATGTTCTAAGGGAATTGAAAAAATTATGTGCAATCTTACACCAGGCTCCAACAGTACTAATATAAAAATATGTTCTCAACAAAATGTCCACCTCTAGCATTATTCTATAAAATATATATATGCATATATGCATATATGCATCCGAAGAAGTGGGCTGTAGTCCACGAAAGCTTATGCTCTAATAAATTTGTTAGTCTCTAAGGTGCCACAAGTACTCCTGTTCTTCTTTATTCTATAAAATGTCAATCTTAATTAACTGTTAAAAAACAATATTTTATAGTTCATTTGCGATGAAAAGTATTTTTACCTCTTAAAAATGTAAATATTAGGCTAAGGAAAATGAGTGCAGTTTTCCTTTCTTTCTTTCTAATTCTTAAAATCACTTTTTATTAGCATCTCATCTACATTTGTTGTAAACTAAATGTTTAATTTTGTTACACTTTTTAAAGAGAAACAAAATGCTAATTGTGTGTACAGACACTAACCTAAATATGTCCATTTGTTAAGCCATTCAACTCAAGATTCTTAGGCTAGTGCTTTTAGAAGACTTCTGTAAATCAACATTTATAGGTTCATAAGCAGAACTAAAAGTATTGTAACAGAAACGAAAACTCCAATGGCTAATTTCAGCTCCAATTTAAGAGGAAGCAAATCTGCTGGTGTCAGTTGAATTCCACTTGCTTAAAGTAGGGTTGAATTTGGCCTCAAGAGTCTGACTCATCAACACTTGTGGAAGAATCATCAGCTCAGGGTGTTTGAAATTCACTGCACTTTGTCATTACATTCACACTGTTTTATGGAGTTTTCCATTCTGACCTGTGCTGATGATGATTAATATTGAAAAAAAATAAGACATGCCATGTAACAGAAAAAATATGTAACAATGTAAAATAGTATACATTTAGAATAGTACTTTTCATAGACTTAAGAAACAACAAAATGCCTTAGACTCTGGGCCTGAGCCTAATTTACACTCAGGCCCTGGCATGGTAAAAGAGTTTTAGCGTGGTTTAAAGAACTTTACTATAAATGAGAATTGGGTCCTCTATGTACAGTGATCATATCATCCACCACTAAAATGTATCTATTTCTGGAGTGCAAACAAAGCAACCACTCTGCTGAAAGACACAACCTTCAGGAGCAGTTTCCTGTGTGGTCCAAAATTTCCTTTTCCAAAGTTCAGAACTTTATTTATTTATGGGCATTTCTATGGAGATTTGTAATATTCATTCTAGACCAGTGCAAAAAGCACTGCTAGATTAAAGGATCAGTGACAGTTTTAAAGTTCAATAACTCACATATGATCAGAGCTAGAAATTAATGCTGTATATCATAGGCATGTTTTTTCCACTGTTATATATCAATGCCAGCAAGTCATAGAATCCTGGAACTTGAAATTATATTATTCTGGCTACTTGTTTGCTTTTCCTTTCATTTCCACTCCCTTATTTCAACACCAGTTATACCAAATATTGCAAGAGCTAAAAGCTAAAATTGGAGTTGTATACATCTGAAACCTTTGAACCTATCATTCAAATGTTATAGAGCATGACCCATTGACTGAAAGGCCAAATTCCCACAGATCTTGAAGAAAGAAGGATCACACCAATAAAGCATTAACTGTATTACATGTTCACCAGATATTATCTGTTAAAATCATGTTAAAAATCTAACTGCAGATTTTAAGGTTGGATATCTCACACTACTAGGGATGGAAATACTGTGTGAGCTTCTCTAATTACTGCTCCTAGACCAGTGACCAGAAAGGAAAGGGTTAGATCTATGGCTTTCACTGGAAAACAGATGACAAGGAAAGCACATTGTTTAAGGCTATGAAACTGGTTATTAAAGGAGCTCTGTGTCAGGTTCAGGATAAAAGAAACACAAAAAGCTAGAATCAGATAAGGAAATTTACAGGCAATATCAGATCGTTGGCAATTGGCCAAATACCTTTCCAGACTCTTGGGGTGCCTGCAGCTATGATTGGAACCACCTCTGGTAATGTATGATTTTTTTTTAAAGTTCAAATTAACAAAATAGGTGGTTTAAATTTAATCAAAAATAACATTAAGAAATTTTTCCACATTAAATTCATTCAGCAATTATATTTAAAGTGGTAACATACAACCATATTTATTGTATAAAAAGAGGCTATTTTGGTTTTAACTCCAAAAAGAGAAGATGCCTGATTCTCTTCTATGAGGAGGAAAACTAGCAGTTACGTGCAAAAGTGGGACATGACATCCTATGTAGTATCTAACAAAAGGAAGAAAGCACAGAGAAAGCAGGAAAACAGAGAAAATTCTATTTGCAAAAAGGAAACAAATATGCTCTTCTATTTGTAGAAGTGGGTTTTCTAATGCTCTTTACTTTTGTTTCACAGAATAGCAGCATTGTACCTTTAAACTGTGTGAAAAGATATGAAAAAGATATTTAAATAATGGAAGTGCACTGAATGGCATGTAGTTTTTACAAAATTGCACAACACTAACAATCAACATAATATAATATTTAGAGCTACAGCATGTACACTAAACATTAGCATTCCTGTCTTTATCATCCATTTGTATCACACATCGTCATTTTACATTATTTGTTCTGGACAAGCAGGAAGAAAGACAAGTGGTGAGGGATGTGGTTTAATTAGGCCATAACTTTGTCAACTTAGTTCATCTGGGAACTATCCAGCAGTATACTGTACAATACAGGTGATGATTCCTTCCTTAATCATTTCCACCTTGTAGAGGGCTGCATCATCCTTCCACAGCTGTTCCCCAGCCAGCTGCTGGGACCTCACCACCCTGCCCTCAAATATGTGTTATGGGGCTATCTCCTCATAATACCAGACATCAGCATACCCTACATCTACTTTCAATTCCAGTTAATCAGGGAACTGGTCCCCCTATAGAATAAGTACCTGCACTGGACATAAGGAGATATCAGTAATTAGCTTGGCTGCTTCCCTCCCCACCCTCAGCTGGTTTCCCAGATAGTTAACATTTCTGTCACCAACTTCAGCCAAAAATATACCCACTCCCCAGTCAGAGAGGTGTACCTCATTCTCCCTAAAGAAGGGGGCTCCTGGTGGAAGGACTGGGTGTAAATACCCTCCCCTGGGTGCGCTGGGGCCAATGTTTTACCTGCCCCACTCACCTGCCCACCTGTTCAGTTGATGCCTTCCCTGCCTCTCTCCCAATCCCTAAGAGAGGGGGAACCCCTAAAGGAGACAGTACTCCTTTCCCCCTCTAAGTCTAGACAAAGACCATCCTGTCTTTGAGGTTGTATGGATTGCAATATAGCTTGTAACACAGAACCTTAAATGTCAAGAACAAAGTTTTTCAATAGATGCTCTTTATTCGTAACAGATTTAGAATTGGAATATTTAGAATGATCCTTGGCACTATATGCAGAGTCCAGATTTTTCTGAAAATAGTTATTAAATTTATATTTAATAGTACACTTACTTGTTTCCCAGATATAAGCTTTTTGTCCTCAGTATTCTGTTCTGGTTTAATGATGTGATACATAAAGCTTTTACTATAACATACTGGAAGTGTGCTTTGACTGTAAATTTGTTTCGCTCCATCTCTGATATAATATCTCTGCGGAAGAACTTCATCCAAAGGAATTTTGCTGTAAAAACAGAACTTCTGTTACTTTAGTTCACAGTAAATAAAAATGTAGGTACTTCTGAATGACAGAATAATCTGGACAGTTGATTCTTTTATTGTTGCTAAAGAACAAAGTGAACCGCAATACTTATAATTTCCTCCTGTACATCA